CAGGCATTGCATGGTAGTACGCCTTCGCAGCGGACTTTCCGTGCATGACATGCACTGCATGCCCTAAATTTTCGAGACGGCGGCGCATGTCTCTGCGGGTGATAAGTCCGGATATGGCGTCGCAATAGATCACTGATCATTATGTGAGTGTAAGTTTTACCATGTGATTGAGCCAGCACTCACTTCCTAGTCAGGACACTCTCACAATAAGGACAGGCAAGATTGATTTCCCCATTATGATGATTACGGTGTCGATTAAGGTGCTCTTTACGCCGATATTTTGCGTTGCAGCCTGGATAGTCGCATTGGAACCACAAGGGGGCGATATCGGCAGGTGGCGACATTGTGCGAACCGTTTTGCTAATCTTTGGACTTCACAAATTTTTCATCAAACCACATTAATGAATTCAGGAGTTTGCAGAGTGAAGAGTTCGAAGTTAATACAAGGGAAAATAGAGACCTCGGGGAGAGATCGTAATGACGGAAGCTCCAGGTGGGGCCCGAGTGAGGAAGCCCACCAATGCAATTCCACCGGGGCATCCCACTTGATGAATAAGTAGACCTAACTGAATAAAATCTGGGGACAAGTCGGAACATCCCACTTGCCGCTTTATCCATGAGTATATCTGCCGCGTCCCTATAAATAGGAAAGTTCTGAAATGGAGCTCCTCATCTCACTACCTCATCTCTTGGCGGTTCAGTGAATATCAATTCGAGTGCACCACGATGGTCGACCTCTATCATCCTGGAACCTTGCGCAACGAATCAGACCTGGCCGGCACCTTGGATGCAGCTCACGAAGACCACTTCAGTTCACATCTCGAGCCAGTAATCTCTAAATTGGCTAGCATACATGCACCTCCTGAATTCGAAGTTTACTGGGACTCCGAAGATCCCGAGAATCCTCGCCTATGGCCACTTTGGTACAAAGGCCTCACTGTCGCTGCAATGAGTCTTGGCGCGACAGTTGTCAGTCTCTCCAGCACACTATACACATCAGGGATTCCAGGGCTACAAGAGGATTTCCACGTTTCGAAGATTGTGGCCCTCCTTGGTGTCACGACTTATCTTTTTGGAATGGGAATAGGCAGCATCATTTTTGCTCCACTCAGCGAGCTTGTGGGACGGCGGCCAGTCTATATTGCCTCAATGACAGTATTTCTGTTGCTATTGCTGCCGAGTGCTTTAGCTCAAAACATTGAATCCATCCTTGTGAGCAGATTCTTCGGAGGATTCTTCGGAAGTGCATTGATGTCGAACTCGCCCGCATCGGTTAATGACATCGTCTCGGATAAGCACCGGGCTTTAGCATTCGGCTTCTGGTCTATTGGGCCCACCAACGGCCCTGTATATGGGCCTGTCATTGGAGGCTTTGTTTTCCAATATCTTGGCTGGAGGTGGACAAACTGGATTGTTCTCATCATTGGGGGTGTGGTATTGGTCCTGATAGCTTCTGTCAAGGAAACATACGCCCCTGTGATCTTGAAAAGACGCGCTGCGAGAAAACGAAAAGAGACACAGAACACAAATTGGTGGACACGCTATGATGATGGTGTCGGTTTTGCATTTTCACGGAGGATCAATCTCAAGAGACCCTTTGTGATGCTCCTAAAAGAGCCGATATGGTAAGCTATTCTCCTGCCATTCTAGAAGGCCAAGACTAACATTCTCGCAGTATGTTTTGGGACGGCTATGTTGCGATTGTTTATGGCGTCCTTTACCTATGCTTCGTCGCATATCCAATCGCTTTCCAGCAAGGACGCGGATGGTCGCCAGGCATTGGTGGACTTTCGTTCGTCGGTATAGGTGTTGGTGTCTTAATTGCCATTGCATGCGAACCTCTGTTTCGTCGGGTGATTAATCTTCACCGCAAGGACCCAGAAACCGGTATGGTACAAGCAGAGGCTATGGTCAGCATCGTCTTTTTTGGTGCTACGCTTTTAGCCATTGGCCAGTTGTGGTTCTCCTGGACGTGTACTCCAAACGTTCACTGGATCGTCCCCATCCTATCTGGTGTTCCCTTTGGAGTGGGTAACGCATGCGTCTTCATTTATGCCTCAAATTACATTGCTCGGTCTTATGGCATTTACGCCGCTTCTGCACTTGCAGGAAATATGTTCACTCGGAGTGTCATGGGAGCATTCCTTCCGCTTGCAGGTCCATCAATGTATAAGGCTCTGGGCTTGAATTGGGCAAGTACAATTCTAGGACTTGTGGAGGCATTATGTATTTTGATACCTGTTGTCTTCTACTTTTACGGACATAGAATTCGGAAGGCGAGTCCCTTTATCAAAGAGGTCGAAAAATTGCAGGCAGCTTGAGAAAACTCCTTCGGCCAAGATATATATGTGTTTTACCTTTGTGCAAAGCGAAAATTAATACTTATGATGAGTCAGTCGTTCTATAACAACATCCAATATTTATCTATCGCTTAAACCCCTAGACTCGTGGTAATCTTGTAAGATAAGGTGTCTTCTTGACTAAAGACCGGGGTACAGTTGGTATATAGTCTGGAGCAGGTTGCTTTTTTCTTTTCGTATTCAGAATAGGATACATCCAGTGGGAGTAAGGGTAAGAAATTGGCATATAGCAGATATGAAAATCACATATACAGCAAACTTTCTAGTTCAACGCTGCAAAATGCACACTTCGCGAACATTTTTCGGCATCCCACATAGTGATCTTGGACTGTCCCAAGGTCATATAGCGCTAACCCAAAAAGGCTAGCTTCTCCGCCAAGCCTTTTGCGCGCGTGGCAATTCATCGATTCATGAGTTGGTTAGGGAGAAATAACCTTGGAAATCAGTGTGGTTGATAATCACTGGCCTGGTAAATATCCGGGAGATATTATATAATTTTTCTGAATGTTGTGGCGAGATGAAACTTCATGCCCACGCCCACGTGGGATGAGCCGAAGTTACATCATCAGTAGAATGAAACAGAATTTCTAATGTTTTCAGAAAGGCGATGTATTTAAACCTCAGTTTCTCCCGAACAGAGTGTCTTGACGTTCCATTCCATTAATCAGATCTACTGTGTCAAACATTTCTCTGCCTGACTCTCACTCTTACCGCAGCCATGGCAGCAATATCCAAACCTACCCTTACAATCACACACGTCACCACTGCAACTGCCATTCTCAACATTGATGGAGTTAACTTCCTGACAGATCCCTTCTTCGGAGCTATCGAAGGGACGGAATATGATTCGACCGCAGTCTGGGAACAAGTGGACCTGAAACAGTTCGGTTTTGAAAGCATTCCGCCACCACCGCACCTTATCAACAAGCAAGGTCCAGCGCTTCAGCTCAACGAACTGCCGCCTATTGATGCTGTGCTTCTTAGTCATGAGGATCACCTTGACAATTTGGACCCAGAAGGCCGCAAGCTACTAGATGGTCGAAAGGTGTTTACCACCGTCGACGGTGCCACCAACCTGCGTCCACGCCCGGGAGTCGTTGGCCTTCGACCCTGGGAAACTGTGACTTCTTGCATTGGAGGAAAAATGTACCGAATTACTGGTACCCCTTGCAAACAGTTCCCAATTGGAGAAGTTACGGGCTTCGTCCTGGAGACCGATTCGTTCGGCCTTGATTCATCTGGCAAGCCTAATGCAATCTATTTCTCCGGGGTAACCGTGTATATTGACGAGCTGCGAGAGATTGGAAAGAGATGGCATATTACTGCAGCCATTTTCAACTTGGGAAATGCCACATTTGATTTCCCGACTGGCCCCGTTCAGATTACAATGGACGGCAAACAAGCCGTTCAGCTTGCCCGTGATATCGGCGCCGATGTCATGGTCCCAATTCATTTTGAATCGTGGGAACATTTCAAGGAGGGCCGGGCGGAGTTGGAGGAGGTTTTCACCCGGGAGGGATTTTCGGACAAAGTGTGCTGGACAGCTCCTGGCATTCCCAAGGTTGTTTTTTAACTGTGAATCTCTGGATATCGCGACCCTACGGCCTCCTCTTTGTGCTTTATGTTTTATTATGTTCTGTATTCCATAGTTGATTCAGATTAACTTCGTAAATTCAAAAGCCAGGATTTTACACTCGCTTGTCCAATTTGTATTTTGTTTAAAGGGACACGCCGGGAAATAGAGGAATAGTCCACTCTATAGAAATAGGATTTAAAAGAGTGCTTGGAAGTTTGGGTGTCTTGGAGACTTCTTGATCGAGTCATGGTCGGATCTCCTAGGTAATAGACAGTGCTCGCAGTCTCGCAGGCCATCACTGCCATTGAACATCCACTCCCGCCCGAAAATAGCCTGGCACACTCAAATCGTACAGTTTGCGGCTGGAGGCCAGACGGAATTAGTGCCACAGGTGATACAGTAGCCCCAGCCTCCCCGAGTTCAGTTCTTTGTGTAAGAATTGGCTACAGTGCACGAAAGCAAAACCATGGAAAAAGCGCTTCAGCCCTTACCAGCAGCAAAGGTTCAATGACCGCCAAGAGTTAATGAGGAAGAATAATTATGTATTAGACAGGGTTTCCAAGTTGAAAACCACGGTTTTGGTGCCGAATGGAACCTTTCACCTTTTGTGAAAAACCCACAAACAGATGTGTTAAAGTCGTATAGATAGAGTAAAACTCTCACCCAGGAGACAAGATCTCCCTTCATTCTCCATGTTCGATCTTGAAATGCCATAGTAGCAAGGGCCTGATTCAACACTTGAAATGCCGAGCCACGGCCGGTTTCAATTTTACCCTTCGTTTGAGATTTTGAAGCGCGAAATGGTCCAGCCCAAACGGCCCCCGATCTTGTACATTCTCTGCAGTGAAGACCAGTGTCGGAGCTGATTGAAGCCTCTCGCTTCCTATGGAAGTTTCCCCAACAGATATATCAAAGTCATATAGATAGGGTAAATTATCCATTGCAGATAGAATCTCTGTCCATGCACCAGACTCGATCTTCACATGATTTAGCTGGATATAGTGCATCGACTCGTTACATTGCTCAATAATATTGACGAGATTTCGAGATGAAATTCTCACTTTGTACAGGGACAAAAACCGTAGGTGAACCTCTGAACCGAGTTCAAGACTATCAATGCTCAGATAGTTGGTGCTACTGAGTGAGAGGGAAGTCAGGTTTGTTGAAAGCTCCACGATCCTCAACAAGTAAGCCGCACAGGATTGCTGGTTTGTCTGCGCATAGACGTGCAATCCGAGATACTGAAGGCGGCTAAGAGTCTGCTCAATCGGTATCCGCAATGGGCTGATATTCTCGGCAAATAAGGGGGCAAAATCGTTCGTCATTGGTAACTGAATCTCAAGTTCTGTCAAGTTGGGCAGAGACACGTAGCATAACGACATGAGTATCGAGTCGATGGATGCTTTTATCTTATCATGGGGCAAGAGCGCCAATGGCGGACCACGGAAGTCGAGGGCTTTGAGATTATGAAATTGACGCAAGCATGAAGACAGCAAGGCGGCAAGGTCTTCCGTGTATAAGCTAATCTCTCGTATCGAACATGGGAAGGAACCGTATCCAATGTCGACTTGACGCACATATTGGGCATATGGGCTTTTGGACAGGTTCACTAGCCTTCCTAAAGATGGTAACTGGGTGGTGTCGTACGATGAATGGGCTATGGCTATAATGTGTCGAAAGAGACGGGTTGAGGCACTGTGACAGAAGCTTTTGTTGACCAACCGGAGTTGAGCCAAATTCTTCCGGTTCTTGTCGTTCGTTATCCGGAATGCACGAGCAATCGATGTCCTTGAAGAATATTGCGAAGTGTCGATCTCGACGTAAAATGTGATCTGCCAAACGATTGTTTAGTAGTGGCGCACAGCTGAACTGGTACAAATCATACAAGGTCAATTATCTCTTGCGGAAGATACATATTAATCAATGGATAAACATCATCGGCCGGGAATTATCCAGGTGAAAAGTCGATTCTGGATTCCAGTGTTGCGGTGAGCTCCTGCGGTCTTCTCACTCCTAAATTTGGAAGAGAAAAGGGAGCCCAGCTAACGACAGAAAGAATTAGCAATCGTCTTCACTTTACCGGCGTTTCGGTAAAACACATACATGATTTTTGTTCCGATGTAGAATTTTGAAATCGATATTGAGTCAATCAAAACCAAAGCAGCAAAGCATCATCCATGGACGATCCACGGTTAGTTCCGTCAGTCAATCGAATCTTGGCGGGTAATCTAACCATTCAGGGACAGGGTGGAGGTCGGGAAGCGCCACTGAAACCCATCAGGTGGGTCCCTGAAGGTTGTGCAACGTCGAAAAGCCCAGACAATCGGCGATTGAAACCATGGGCACTGGTCGGTATCCCGCCCGTCCTCCGATCGAAGTGGCGCAGTCACGTGTACCCCGGCCTCTCCCTCTTTGCAGTCGATGTATCATATGTAGCTGATAAATCATTGACCAATATCCTTCCAAGGCTGGGTCTATAAATAAATGCACACCATCTTCTGAATAAATGCATTAATCTCAAGACCCTAGAGTTACGACTAAATCCGGTAACTTCAATATTTACAATATGCGGTGAGTCTCTTCATGAGATTTGTAATACAAACTGTGCCCTAACACTCAATTAGAGACGAATCCAGTCCCTCCTCAAAAACTGTGGCAGAGGCGTATTACGAACTTGGTTCGTATCGTCGATCAGTGACCACTGCGTCGGCGGAAGCTCAATTGTGGTTCAATCGCGGACTGATATGGGCTCATTCTTTCAACCATGGCGAAGCGGTTCGGTGCTTTGAACGGCTGCCGAAAGTGACGCCAATTGCGCCATGGCGCTATGGGGAATTGCGTATGCGACTGGGCCCAACTACAACAAGGCGTGGAGATATTTTGACCCAGAAGATCGTCAGGCTTCTATCAAGAAGGTCAACGATATCCTTGCCCGAGCGTCCAAGCTAGCTAGCCAGGCTACACCAGTCGAACAAGCGTTGATCGGGGCAATCGGCACTCGTTTCCCACCAATTGATGACATCCCCGAGGATCTGGGCCCTTTCGATCGCGCATATGCGGACGCGATGCGCTCTGTGTATCATAAATTCAGCGATGATGTGGACGTGGCTGCGCTATTCGCGGAAGCACTGATGTGTATCACTCCGCGCGGGCTATGGGACCTGAACACCGGTAAACCGACCGGGGATCACACAATCGAGGCTCGCGAAGTGATTGAGCTGCGACTGAAGCAAGATCCTGGTCGCAGTCATCCAGCAATCTGCCACTTGCACATACACATGATGGAGATGTCGCCATTTCCAGAATTGGCTCTACCGGCTGCGGATCGACTACGTGGCATGGTTCCGCACGCTTCGCATATGTTACACATGCCGACGCATATTGATGCCGCCGTTGGCGACTATCGCCGTGGTATCGACTCCAACAATGAAGCGATACTTGCCGACGACATCTACTTTGCTCGAGAGACGGGTACAACTATGTATGCGGCTTACCGGGTGCATTATATTTGTGCAAAATTGTATTCCGCTATGATGTCCGGCCGATTCACAGACGCAATGTCCGCTGCTGAAAAGCTCGAACACATCATTGATGCGGATCTGCTATCCGTCAAAAGCCCCCCAATGGCAGACTTCGTCGAGAGCTTCCTAGGAAGTAAGGCGCGCGTGCTGGTGCGCTTTGGTCGCTGGGAAGAGATTCTTGACCTCAAGCTTCCCACCGATCGCGATACATATTGTGTAACTACAGCCACCATCCATTACACCCGCGGGCTTGCGTTCAGTGCACTTGGAAGGATTGCAGAAGCCGAAGCCGCTCAAAAGGAGTTCGAAACGGCGCGCAAGGCAGTTCCTAGCTCGCGACTTAACAGCATTCCATGCACGGAGGAAGATGTTCTCGCAGTTGGCTCTGCTATGCTTGCCGGTGAATTAGAATATCGGAAGGGAAATGTCGAGACGGCGTTCCATTTCCTTCGGGAGGCCATTGTACGTGAGGATGCACTCGCGTATACCGACCCGCCTGCCTGGATGCAGCCAGTCCGCCATGCACTCGGTGGCCTGCTCCTTGACCAAGGGCACGTCGAGGAAGCAGAAACGCTGTTCAAGCAGGATCTTGGTTTCGCTCTGGACTATCCTCGGCGTAAGGCAAAGCTCAATAATGTTTGGGGGTTGCATGGCTTATACGAATGCTTCACTCGCCTTGGAAAGAGCCAAGAAGCTGCTTTCATTCAACCTGCACTGGATATTGCTTTGGCATGCGCCGACGTTCCAGTGAAGGTTTCATGCTTCTGTCGAACTTCTGCTGTAACAAAAGATGGATGTTGTTCTTGATTAACGTTGTTAGTTAGCTCGAGGGATCAGGCAACCATGGTGGCAGCACCAGATAGTTATTTCTCTCACTCCCTATTCTTTTCTCTCTTCTTCTCTCCCTCAGTGAGGGCTTCTCTCGGAATACATCACTATATTTCCTCAACTCATCCTTGCGTAGCCTTTCCACCAAAATATCTCTCTTGTCTCTGCCTCTCTGTGTCTACATTTTACCTTCCATTCATCCGATTTGATAGGGCATTCAAAATCTGCGCACAGTTTCTCCATGCATATTTCCCTGCTTCCTAGAATTATGCTAGGAACTCGGCCATCATGAAACGATAGCCAAGCGCTTTGTTTATGTATATCAGTGCCTTGAACTTTACCCGCAAGGCATTGATTCGTGTCGTATTATGTTAACAAATGGAAACAGTCGATGGCTCGCCGTCCACACTGCACCGGTATGTAACATATTGAGATAAATCTCCAGAGCTGCTTAAAACAACAAGAAGCAGAGCTTGGGTTTTGGAGCGTACCGAAAGAATATGATATTCCAGATGCAACAATCTACTAAGGAAATTAGTATTCGCCACGATGAGTTAGCTGCAGTCGTTCGTCGCGAACTCTCCAGAATCTAGAAGAGCATTCGAAATCCCCCTTTTTCAAGGCTATGTTGAAAGGTAACAACGCAGAAGTTGAAAATGTCTTGGCGGGATATGTTTCCCCATTAGGAAAGTAAACCACGGAATTTCGGTTACTAGGTGGCGGATCACAAATTATTCATCAGATACATATTCATCAGATTAATTTGTCAGGATGATTAATTCTTCAGGATGATTAATTTCCTGGCTACCTTTCTAAACCTATATAAACCATCAAGTATAATGAAATAGATCACAGCATACTAAAAAAATAGACCTCACGGTTCTGATCCTACAACAGAAGTCAAGTTCAAAATGTCTCCTACATTGAACATCACCCACATTGGCACCGCCACCGCCATTCTCGAAATCAACGGATTCAACATGCTCACTGATCCATTCTTCTCACCTGCTGGATCTACGTGGCCGATCAACGACAAAGTTTCCCTTACCGTGGAAGACGATCCTGCTCTCCGTCTAGAGCAACTCCCTGTCATTGATGCTGTACTTCTGAGTCACGAAGATCACCCCGACAATCTGGACGAGCTGGGCCGGCGCCTTCTGGATGGCCGCCGCGTCTTCACCACCGTTGATGGAGCCAAGAACCTGTCTCCCCGGCCCGCGGTTCATGGCTTAAAGCCCTGGGAAAAAATAGACACTGTCATCGCCAGACAGAAACTCCAGATCATTGGCACTCCAACACAGCATTTGCCTGGTGGTGAATGCACTGGCTTCATCATCACAGGAGAAGGATTCGGAACTGGTCGCGACGGTCTTCCCAACGCAATCTGGTTCTCAGGCGACACTGTGTACATCGACGAGTTGAAGAAGATGGCGGACGAGTATCATATTTGCGCTGCCATCCTCAGCCTAGGCAACGCACATGCCCCTGCCAATCTTGAGGACCCTAGTGATGGACTGATGCAGATTACCATGGATGGCAAATCGGGTGCCCGGTTGTTCCGTGAAATCAAAGCAGACGTTCTAGTCCCTATGCATTATGAGTCGTGGGGCCATTTCACGCAGTTCGGGAAGGAGCTGGCCGAAGATTTTGAGAGTGAGGGCGTTATGGATAAGGTGTGTTGGCTGAAACCAGGAGAGGCAGTGTCTGTTTTGTAGGTGTTCTATACATGTATATATTCAATAGAAAGTTTAGACAATGAGACAGTTTACCAGTGTTTGCCTTGTTTGTCAGGTTTCATCTAACTATACAAGTGCTATATTTACATTTGATCCGCATCAGTCGCATAAGGAATGCGATACATAAACTTGAAATAGTCCAACCACGCAATTCCCGTGTATGTGACGGGAATATATCTAGCACCTCGTCGGATCCACCACATTGCACACCTGGCCGCCCAGTCTGCAGAGAATACAGCATTTCCCACAGATGAGAGAAAGGAGGGTAGAACGATATGTCGGTAAATTATATCAGGGTCATCAAAACAGGAACGAGCGTGCGGCAGGAATGTCCTTCGTTTGGACTGAGAGTCACGTTGCGGCCGTGCATTTCTCCAGAATGGATGGAAATCAATCTCCCTGCCAATGTACCATACTTCTGGAAGTGTCTGACAGGCGGGCCTGGTCGCTCTACACTGCTTGAATAATTTGATAAATCGGGTAGCTGAATCGCAATTTGAGCCAAGTGCGTCCTCGCCATCGTAAGCATGAGCTAGGATCAAAACGTCGGTGTTTGAAAGAGTTGGTATCACTTTACCAAAGTCATGATGATCCCAATCAGTCCCAATCGTCAACTTGCGAATGCAGGCTACCCCTTCTTCACGCTCGAGATCTTTGATGATTCCTTGGGTAAATGCTCCGCTTCCCTCAGTGATCGTAAAGCGCTTCCGTCTGAAGGAGTAGGCGGTACCCCAGATCCTGTCGAAGACTTTGATAAACGAACTCATATAACGATCCGGGTAAACATGGTGTAGTGCGTGAAACTCTGGGCCCACAAGTATCCAGTTAGTGTCCTTCGGGGCGGTTTTGTAGATGAGATGGTTTGAGTCGCGGCCACATGTGAGGATGACAAAAGTAGATCTTAGGGTTTCAAAGCCAATTATAGACAAAAGGTGGTTTCGTGTACACCACACGAGGCCGTTAGGCGTCATATAATTGGCAAAGAGATACCCTAGCGTGCTTCCAACGATTTGGAGTGCTAGCTCAAGTGGCAAGGCTTGAAATCGATTCTGCTGAAGATACCTTTCGTCGAAATTCATATGCCGTGTGAAGTAGAGATGGTGGTAATGGTGGACACGTGCTAGGCGTCGAAAAAGAGGGTGAGACGATTTGTTGCAACGGTGGAGCATATGGTGAACAACATCGAAAAACACAGAGCCTGTGCAAAGCAGGTACAATAAAGACAGTAAAGATGGAGTAATATCACTCAAAAGGCGGAGGTAATAAGCTACCAAATCGGGAATTCCATCCACGAAGTGCACGTCGACTGGGTAGCTCATCTCGAACGTAATGTTTACATTAAACATATAAAGAAGGATTGAGGATTGCTAGGCATTGTTTGCAGGTTCAAGTCATGCAAGATGGTCCTTATATCTTCCGAGCACACGGTCTGTCTCTATACGAGCATGCCCACCGGCCATCACGACGTAAACGGAGAATTTCTGTAACAACTTTTATCTATAAATAATCCGCAAGATGGCGACTACCCAGGTATGACTCGATACCATTCGCCATGTCTTGAACTCAGTCAATTCTGGTGTTTCAAGCAGACTACCTTTATTCTAATCTACACTCGTTCCAACAAATGTGCCCCACGTACTCCGTAGCCTGGCGAAAGCTCGGACAAATATACGATAGGCAGCGACTTATTGCTCCAGCATTGCGATGACAGCACCACCAAAGGCCATTACAAGTCTAATATTTATTTCCACCGCTAGAGACAAATAGGTGAAATGGAGATATTTCGGGAACAAAGTCTGGCAAGGAATGAAAGCTCCCGAGGTCCTTTATGGAACCTACTACTAGGATGAGCATTATCGGGAATGGAGCCTAGCCAACTTCAAACTCATCTCTGGACAAGACGTGCCGCTCAGCCCCTATGCTCTATGCTTCAGCAATCTGGAAGACGATCAGGCACTAATTGATGTCCCGTCATCGTCAAACTAACGGCATCTTCTCATCTCCAAATAAACTACGATAGTAGCCCTCTCAGAAAAGAGAATTGGAAAGGTCGCTGTTCTAGTAGCTCTCTCTCTCTCTCAGTCCTCACTATATATCTAGTATCGACTCAGCTCTCCGACAATTTGTCCGGGTATAATCAATGGATGCACCACTGATGCCACCGTCCCTATATACTCACCTCCGGAGTACGTACAGATTCTCCAAGAACACGAATCTGCCATACGAGTTATAGAAGACTATACTCAGGCCCTGAAATTAAACTATCAAGCTATAGACTGACGATTACTCCTCAAACTCATTTACAAAGGTGTATAGCGCTCAGGGTTCCCCGGGATTGGTGCCTGGATGTCTCAGGCTGAATTTGGCCTGGCAGAAAAATAAGAATACCTGAATTACCATTGCAGGGCCCTTAATACCTACATATGTAGGTAAGCAAAGTACCTTAGGTAATTCTTAGGGAGGACCTCGGGAAGGGTAATAGGAAGCTTTTAATCCCAAATGCATGCATCTCCAGTTTTCAAGGTGGTTTATAAGCCTCCATGTATGGGGGGGGAAAGCCACATTTTCATACATAGAGGCTTGTAAACTACCTCGAAAACTGGAGATGGAGGTATTTGTATGGGAAGGAAAGCTGCACTGAATGTGTTACAATACACTGTAAACGGATGCCTAAAAGCAGTCTAAAATCCAAGCCAAATTAAGACGTTAAGGCACCAATCCAGGGTAAAGTTTGAACCCTGAGCGCTATATAACATACACTTTACTCATTCAGTCCAATTACGCCGAGCTACTACTGACATTTGCAGTATATCCTCACAACCTTATCCAACCTGTCGACATTACTAGACTTTTTGTCGTCTCAGCAATAATTTATTTATAGCTGAGTGTGGGTCTCCATAACCTCTGGTAGGTGCTAAACCCAATTAAAGTAACTCATCGGCCAGTAAAACCGAAAAGCTTGAAATTTCTATCTTGCAGAGTTCTATTAGCCCGTCCCCGACGCACGAGGAGACTCGGTAAGAAATCCCGAATTTGCCCCTAATAAATATTTTTAAAGAATATTGAGTCGTTGTTAACCCGGAGGAAAGATCGTACTACAAATTAGGCAGGTTGTAGTTGAAGGATTGAAGATTAGAGTTATGCCGTTCACATTTCGTTAGGACCCCTGATTCTTTTGGGAAATGATTTACAAGAGGAACCGCTCTAGCGCTGTTTGCGCGGTTCTTTATCCCAGAACGGCTAGATTCCCCGCCAAGCCTTTTTACTAAAGCGCTACTCCGCCGTTAAACGTACTCGATATCCAACGCTTCCTGCCAAGTGTACTACTAGTACTCCGTAGTATAAAGGGTGTAACAATGACTTTAACATATATAGAAGACGAGCAAGAATATTATGATCTCTTAGAACTCGCATCCTGTTTGTGCTTGCAATGGCGCCTATTCACCTTGGTATTCTGGTCTATGACTACCAGGCGATTGATGTTGTCGGCCCAATCGACCTCCTTCACTCCGCTAATTCTGCGTTCTTGGAAGTGTCCAAAATGTTTGGCCCCGTCAATGACGATGCTATCTCTCAGGCGCCAGACTTTGTTTTTCACCATGTTTGCATCACGAAAGAGCCCTTCCACCTATTCACCAGTGCCATTACCCTTACCTCAACTACAACGGTGGATCAGTGTCCCGAGCTCGATATTATCTTGCTTGGGGGCCGAATCCCGAGGGCTTCAAGCTGCACCCGAAATATATTGATCTCATCCGTCAACATATCAATGCAGGAAAGTTGCTTTTCACGACATGCACTGGCTCAGCCGTACTTGCATCTACAGGACTTCTCGATGGAAAGAACGCAACTATCAACCATGCTGGGTATAAATGGGCGAAAGAGAATTATCCTGCCGTCAACTGGACTAAGGAAAAGAAATGGGTTGTTGACGGGAATATCTGGACTGGAGCTGGTGCTGTTGCAGGAATGGACATGGTTGCCTGTTGGCTCAAGGAGCAATTCGGTCTAGAGATTCTTACATATGCTGCCCGGAATCTGGACTACGAGCCTCGGGGCGTTGATGGTGTCTCACCTGTGATTCCTCGGAGATATGACGAGAGCGGAAAGCAGATCAGCACCCATGAATTTTTCTATTATTAGACAGTCAATGTTAGATTTAAAAGAATTAACGTACTGCACTCAAAGTACTGAGAAATCCCAATGTTGTCATTTCTTCAACTGTACCCTGAAACCCATAGGTCCAAAAAGGAAAGGTCCGAAACGGAAAAGTGGAGCCGAACCCCGATTTGGTTGCATATTCCGCCAAGACTTTTACGTCACAGCCCTGCGGTATCCTTCTAGACCTCCACGGCTTGGAACTTTCAATATTTCATCTCCGCAAATACAATGGAAGTCAAGCAGAAATTTGTTTGTCAGAATTGTAGAACCCGGAAGCTAGGGGTATGTGCTCACATCATTTGCCACGTTGGGATTGGACCACTGACGTTCTTATAATTTTAGTGCGATGGGAAGCTTCCAGCCTGCAGCCAATGTGTTCTTTCGGGTCATAAGTGCGACGGCTATCGAACAGATTGGAAATTTATATCACACATTCCGAAGCTCTCGTCTACTTCACAGCAACACAACCAAGTTGCGCTTGTTCGACAGGAGAGCCAAGAGACCTTATTACGTGCCGATCAACAAGACTCGCCAACCGGACCTATACCCCTTCAGGTCTATCTGAACCCCCTTAGCGTATGTAATTTCACAGAGTTAATAACGAAAAGTTATGTTCCCCAAAACGAACGGATTATACAAACGTGCGACTCGGACTATATGGAGCCTCGAATCTGTGGGTCTTGGGTTGAAGTGCTGTCGAGCCTTCCATCCCTGAACACCCCCGGTCTGGTTCTTCCGAGGGCAGTCGCAGCATTGGGAGCTTCACTACTATCTCAGCAAAGTGAATCCAACATAATCTGCACCCAAACCTACGACATGGCTCTCCACACACTCCGACAAAGCTTTGGCTTGAATCCCCGTTTCCTTAGCACTGAACAGATACCAGCTATTATGTGTCTTACGCTAGTGGAGGTACTGTTCCCCAGTCCGACATTTATCTACGCGCTCGCTAACTGGTCAAAGCTTATGAATCCAGATTCCGTCGCTGCTATAGCATCGCATACCCAGGCTGTAGGCATGTTGCTACATGCCCACGGACCGCACATGTGTAGTTTGGGATTACTACATAAGCTATTCGTCGGTTTTAGACCTCTTCTGGTTCGTGCTCTGCCACCCTGATCTTTCTGCACGTATGGTTGTTGAGCTTGGATATAGATAATACAGGCGTTACGAAAACGCCAGCCTACATTTTTAGCATCGCAACCATGGATTGACACCCCGTTCTCTCATTTCCGCCCATCACTCATGCAAAACCTCCTTAACGAAGTTGTCATCCTTCCCGCCCTCCTCCACCAAAGCGATTGCGTCCTAGGAAGCTTGGTCCAGGCCGATTTGTCCGATATCAACAAAATACCCGGTTCAATCACCAACATACTTATCCGCCTTGGCGAATGGGAAACGGCGTTGCAGAAAGGAGAGCAACCTTGCTATTGACGATGCGGTTATGTATCACCAGCAGTAGAATCAAGGACCTCTGACGATACAGGTCTACCTCTTTTTTGGTACCCGAACATCACCATGGCGAACGCTTTTACCCACCTATGGGCCGTCCGAATTCTCTGCCTCTACGAACTCAAGAGATTCATTACGCATTTCTCGCGCCATGACCAAGAGCAACCGATCTGGACCGGGCAGCTTCGTATGAATTACGATGACATTCAAGCCCAGCTCATTGCATTTGCGAAAAGTATATCTCTGAGTATGGTCTACCTCCTACAAGAGGAGATGAGACTCTTTGGGCCGGCATCTACCATCTTCCCACTCCAGATAGCTTACAAAGTATACAAGTCAGCTGGCTCTGGGCACCAGGCTGACATTGCCTACCTTGAGGGAATCGTTGATGAACTCCATCAAAAGGGCCTGAAGTCTGCTAGAGCTCATGTATTTGGTGACTGAATGCAATAATAAACATTGGAAACGTAGCAAAATTCCAAATTCCATAATGGCTATGTTCAGGTTGGATAGCTCCTAGCTGTAGGTACTATTGGTTTATCACACCTCTCCCTCTTCTTCTTGTTTCCTGCGTGCATGGATATTCATCTCCCTGCATATCTCAACTTTCGCGTTGTAATCAAGTTGAATGGGAATTGGGAGAATTGGCTATGCGGCCAGGGCTACTACTGAGGACTTGCCTGGATGGACTCATCTGCCTGTCACATTCATACCTACCTAGGTAGGTACCCTTGTCCAATTTTAGGAACAGGATTAGCCGTATGGCTGGACGCATGGATCTTTGAAAGTAATCGTGAGTTAGGCAGGAACCTTGGACATGCCCCGTAGATGGATTTGGTTTTCTGCCAGTCCACTCTCAGGTTCCCAGTTACTTGTCTCTCACGTATTCATCCTCTCATATCCTCACTACATCTCTCACATCTCCATAATGCAGCGGCGCCATCGAAGCAGCGACGAGTCTGGCACTCCCAGTTCTGCCATCTCATCTACCTTGCATAAAGATATTGACCTTACGAGCCGATTATCCGCCTTACTTGATGCTGCACGAAATGAAGAGCTGACATTCGAACTGCAAATCCTTCCCTCAGCAGAACCCCATGAAGTGTTGAGCCGGGTTCTATCGCCAAGTTCCGTTGTTTCTACAGCCTCCTCTTCCACATTTTTCTTCAACGCACAGCAGGTGACTATCAAGACAAAATGGATCTCAGCTCCAATAAACGAGGATTTCTCTGCGAATTCAAAGCTGTACTCCGCAAGTTGTGGAAAGATCTAAGGGTTGTTTTCCCGGAGGGGAGAGTTTCCCCTTGTCCCGCAGAATATCCACGAATGGTTCTTGAAAACCAGGACGCGAAGCTAAAAATTAATATACTCGCTGCCACCTTTTCCTGGATTCTGCTTGCAGGGTACCTGGTTTTTCCCACCACATTCAGTTCAATGCGCACTTCAACTACCCTGCGGTCCTCCGTGGCTCAAAGTGACATCGGTGAATTCACTTATGATCTTGTTCTCAATATTCCCCTTCTAGCTTTTGCGGCAAATTGTTGTTTAATTGGCAGTGCTGGCCAGGTAATTCTTTGGAGACAGAACCTCAACTTTATTTGGCTTCAATCAAAAATCTTTCTGTAAGCCAGGACCAACTTATAAATTTTATTATCTTTCTCCAAGTACTAATAATGAACAAGACCAGTTCTCATAAATTCTGCCACGGGTTTTATAAATACATTCATAAACGTCTACACCGAGTGGGCTTCACTCGTGGTCAGTGGTTCAAATAGTCACAGCATCAGTTACCGGGGGTTTCACGGTGTTTTCCGGTGTTTGTTTCATTATCTATCACTGTAGGGTCTGTCTGCTGAAGGAAGCCTTTATGGACGAGGTTAAGAGAAAGGGAACAGAGTGACACCAAAGGTTGTAGCATTCCCAGCGCTTAATTGCGAGAGTGGGGTAGTTACTGTAAGTATAAACGATGTTCATTTTCACCTTTCCATAGTCAAAAGCACCATATTAATGGCACTGCTGTGCTCGCTTGGCAAACTCTAGCCATACCTTCAGATTAATCCCATATATATTACTGGGCCATGAAACTTATGTAGCTATTAATGGCACAAGTATTTCAGGCTTTCCACTCTCACCTGTAGCAGTTCTAAGTTGAAAGCCGAGTATAATCGTAGCGGGCCTTGAGAGTAAAAGTGATCGTATATTATAAGCCGTCTCTACTGTTCTCTGTTGTTTGACTACTTTTAGCGCCGAGATATATACTGTAGCTGGGACTAACGACTTTTCTAACCCAACAAGTCATCAAAATTCGTATTCAGTACCCTAAGGCTGATCCTGGACACTTAGGACGTCTTATGGTAAATTCAATATCTTACAGTAGCTAGCTATGCAAGGATATGGAGGGACTTTTGGGTTGAGCCTTTCGAGTGGACTATAGGAGAGGATGTTATTCTGTGATAAATTGGGACAAAGTTACAGTATTCCATTTTAAATACGACACGTCTCTAGCTGAATACCTGCTATAATCTTCAGCATTTATCAACCAATCTTCTCTATTTGAGGCCGCACTCAGTCCGGACCCTGGTCTCTCACTTGTGGGAAGTATGCAAGTGTCTTGCCATATACCTATTTAAGTCAGATACAGCAACAGCAAACGAGACGAATGAGCCAAGAAATTTTCGCTATTATTGAAAATGACACCGCAAGCCACAAGGTCGCAAACATATGTGGGCCAAGGCTCGCTTCAACGCCGAAACCTTTGAGAACGGCTTGAATTGCTGTCTTCATAGTGACGTAAATCACTGTACTACCAACTGCAGCGCCCATAACGAACACACTCGCGATCTGATTTGTTAGATTAGTCTAATTTAGTTCCGAAATTAAATTAACTTACGAATGAAGATAATGCAGTAACGACATTTCCCCAGGCAGAAATCAGATTCACAATTCCTAAGGCAAAGGTAGCTGCGGTTAATGAAAATCCGATTATATAGGCTGAAATTGACCATCGTGATAGGGTTCGGCTTGCTGCATGGAGCTTGTCAAAACCCGGAATGATTGATGTGATATCCTTAGATACTGAGCTAAGGATGCTTTCAAGGTCAAATGAGAAGGAAGTACTGGGTATCGTGCAATTAGTTCCCTTTTGTTACTATTCCCCACTTTGTACATTTACAGCGTGATGAATCTGAGCCGTATGCGCCCAAAGTTTACTGAGGATGAGCGACAATCCATCATTCAGCAGCCGGCCAAGCGACGTACCGAAACTATGGGAAAACAACAAATACTACCAACAAGATCTCGCAGGGTTAGTGTAAGGAGCGGATTATCTGTGACTGGATGCTAATTAAACAAGGCTTCCCGGCTATCCGACAAAGTCCTGGAGCAGCCAGCAAGAGCGGCCATTACAGTATTATTGGAATTGAACGATGGTCACACAAATCTCGCTCAGGATTCTCTCAGTCGAGATGCCAGAATGTTTCTCAACCGGAGCCGGGAGTTTCGAAGCCTGCTACAACCTACACCGACGTCCACTGAGCTAGTGGAATATGCTCTGGGTCTCTCGTCCATGCTTATGGAGAATTATGCCAAAATGATCTTTTATGATCTCAGTTATGCTACTCGTCTCAAGCTAGCCATTATTGTTTGGCATTTCGATGATGACCCAGAGCATATCCGCGCATTCCTCCGAAGTCCGATCAGTAAGAGGGTATGGGAAAGTCTTTATGCCGATTACCTAAACTATAGTCAGCAAGATGTTCCCTATCTTACTTTCATACAATCCTTTGACTTCTTGTTATCGCGACAACTCCCAAAGCGTCAAGCTACTTCGGAAGCTAAGAAGTGTGAAAACTATCTCCCACAAGCTCTTACTGCACAGAGACACCACCCGACGTCCGTCCCACAGTCGCAGTCGACCAGACTTCCATCCCTATCTCCACGCCTGGATGCGGACGTTCGTATTAAGTTGCCACCACTTCGCAAAGTAATTGAAGGCCTTTTTCCGGGTCCTGAAAATGCAGCATCCCGCAAACCCTCCTCTTCGACGCTCGGTCATGATTCTACACTTCAACCAATATCTGATTTCAAGAAGCATCCGTGTACAACAAACAACAAGCTTACCATGAACGACCAAAACACCCTTAGGAGGTTGAGACAGAGAAAAGATGCCAATCTCGAAGTGAAATCCAAGAATCAAGATTCACAACTGTGAGTAAAAGAAAACGATCCAATTACCAGGCCATACTAATCCAGATACACGAATAGGTCCCAAATGAATGGCCATACACTCCCACGAAACCTTACCAAACGGAAGGTGCAATTCGACATAGTACTACGTAGGGGCAAGTCCATATCATCTGCCCATCCAGTTTAACTATACAGACACCATGCAGTGTTTATTGCACCGGCATGGACGTATAGTGCGTGATGGATCCAGGGGAGCCTTAGGCAATGCGAACTCTATTTTTGTTGTATATACAGATACGTGCGGCCGTAAAACTCGGACCTAAAAATTGTTACTGTCAAAGGCAAATCAAGGCGGAAGAAATGCTTCTCATTGTACCACTACAGTATTGATGCTAAGGCTAGAACCTGAATTTTTAATACGAGACTTACTTGATAGAACTCACTACCATTTGATAGGCAGTATTTTCCTATCATTTTCATGTGACATTTGATGGAATCGAAGTCAGTTCGCAGATAGAAAATCTCTTTTCCATTGTCTAAGCTATGACATCCTTCATAAAACAAATTTATGCCAGCCAAGAGCTTCCATAGCGCCTTGTTGGCTTAAACAAGAAGTCCAAACACCGCTACTGCACGTTATCTATCTCTGAGACCACTTGAGAATGGATATCCAATTTTCCTAGACTGTGTTCTCTCGGATCGTTTTCGAAATCCTCCAACCCATGGAAGCGTAAAGGGGTTTCGATCATTGCAACTCCTTATAAATAACATTTGAAAACAAACAAAGTCAGGATTTACCAGGCATCGTCAAAATACCCCTTCCTAACTCCACACAGCGATCTTGCAGCTGATTTGTTTTCCTTCCTCTTTCGATGGAGACATTTCGAGGCAATCTACTGTGATTTACGTTGCACCTGAGCGGCCGAATGTTGTCGGAGATGTACTAACACTAGCGAGGCAACAATTACTATTAAGGGGAGATTTATCAAGGCGCTCGGTTAAACACATACACAAGTTAACAACGTAGGCTTGAGGTAATTTGTACGAAAAATGCATAGAATGGTGATTTTGTAGAGTATCCTCTTCTCCAGGGATAAAGAGAACCTGGTACCGACTCGTTGATGATGGTGTGCAGTCACCGACAGCTGCGCAAACGGCTGACGATGACCCTTGATGACCCTTGTTACCGCCTGGATCTGGTCAGGATGCGCTACTGCTGATGGTCGAAGTAATGCCACCAGATGTAGTAAACTATCCCATCTCAACGTCTTTTGGTCGGCGAGCATAAGTTAGGTCAAGTCGTTGTTTGGTGGATGCGTCCATTGTGGGTATTCACCGGCCCTCATATTCCTCACATGCTTTCCCGTAGGGCAGGGTCAAGGTTAGCCAAAGAAAGCTGAGGTGGTCTGCGACTTTGTTTTGGCTCTCTACCAAGCTGCTGCACGTTGACGCAGGTGTTGGTTTACAATCGGCAGCGCCTCTGGTGTCATTTTCGCCCACCGTAGCTATAAAGAAGCTCAATACCTCCGGAGGTCAGAAGAACTTTGATGACTGCCAGTCAGGAGCAGCCTGGCTATATTTGGAACTGATAAATCCACCAACGGAAGTGTTGCCAGTCGCAGAACTTTGTAATGCCCAGCCGAACCCTAGCGGGAAGGAGGCTCCGCAAAATTCGCCGTCGGATTCTGGATTGGTAAGTGGCACCAAGTAGCTATTCAAAGAGAATGGTACTGAAAACCTTAGTCCTGTCCGTCTCAGAAAGCCGATGACGATAAACGTATTCTGGCCGCAGAGCCTTTCCAACCGGCGCTTGAAACACTAGAGCGCCTGGAACGGGAGGACCCGAAACTTGCTTTCCAGGCCGCGAGACTGGTGGGGTTGTACCGCCGCCTGTGGGGATCGTGCATCTCTAAACATGTTGATGTTCAGCGACTTGAAGAGGCCAATCAAGTGATGCGCGCCAAAAATACCCAGTTCTGTCGGGAGGAGGACTATCTTAAACATCGAGAGGAAGACCAGGTCGCCCGTCTAATCTCATTTGAGCGGTCCATGGACAAAGTTCGGCGAGGTCTGCCTGAGGTGCTTAAAGATTGGAACGCTTGTTCTACAGAGGAGTTAGCAGGAAATCCACAAGAAATACGGGAGAAACATTGATCAATATTGACTTTGTGAATACAACAAGAAGCTATTTCATCAAGACGCGGCGGGCTGGTAGTAAGTGAGGAGTTTTGAGTTTTATTTACCTGAGGTCGTTATTACAAGAACGGTGACTCTTGGTGCACGTTCATTCCAGAAATCCAACCCACTCTTAGAAATATTTAATTCACGACTCAGTTAATGGGCTTCCTAGGATAAAGCGGGTTAATACCGTTCCAAAGGAGATAATGAAAAGTTGAAGCTTGTCTAGTCAGCAAATACAAAATTTGGAATGTTCATAGAGTCGGAATTACTGTACCTCCAGCGACAGTAGCCAGTGTCCACAAATAACACCAACGAGAGCAACGGCCAGTAGGACACATGTCAACCCGGAGTAGTAGTATGAGACGGACTGTACTTGTGACCGAGCTGGAAATTGATAGTCGATGCGTCCAACTAGCCACCAATGAAAAGAAGCTATGCTCAGGATGTCGATGAACACAACGAATGGTACGATCGACCGCAGCGGGGAAAAGACGACGCTTCCGACCATGATAGCGATCGATTTAATCAGACTCGAGGAGGCAGCAAAAAGTGGACACCAGACTCTCAGACAGCGAGAAATATTTGATGGAGGCTGCAAGTGAATGCTGACTCGAAGATACTGCGGATCGCAATAAGCAAGAGCTTCATGAGCATCTACACAGGGCGCTCACGAACTGCTTGTAACGACGAGAATACACTGATCAATCCGGCGAGGATTCCCAGGGTAGTCTCGTTCGCTGCGCACCAGCTTGATGCCGCCAAAATAGCCCACAAGATCAATATCCCCACAAACAGCCCACGATCAAGCCACTGGTGGGACGCATGATTCTGAAATGTTACGCAAAGGAAAAGAATTCGAGCGCAATGTAGGAGCAGCGAGACGGTTGCCAAGGTCGAAAGAAGCACAGAGAGGATCTTCATGATGGATATGTTCTAGAGAAGATCAAAACTGAGGCCCGTATAGCAGATTCCCTACCTTATACTTGGAAAGAGTCATGTATAAGGAGGAAACTCGTAGAAATATAGGCACAGAGAGCTCCTGGGAAGCCCGAAGATGATCCTGGGTTCCGAAGGCACCGGACTAGCTGATTACTTTTAACGCCAATTTATCTTCTGTATATGATCAACTAGATGATGAAGCTTCATAACACATAACCAGGAGTATAGTGCTTACCAATGCTTCTGCGCGTTTGGATCCGCGGGGTAGATGAGATGGCCAATATAGTAATGACAAAGAAGCGAAGAACCCACTCCGATGACGGAATAATGCAGTATTATCTCTTGCTGACAGCTTCCTAGGCCTCGAGAAGCGGCCCGAGACCCGGGGAGATGTACACATCTGAATAGAAAGACCAAAGCATTCGGCGTCAGAAAGCCGGCCGACAGAAGCCGAGGGACCGCTGTGTTTCGATGCGTACTTCCCGGCGCCTGTTTGATCATCCAGACTCTGACATTTAAACAGGTACGTGATGCTAATTGCATAGCAGAGCAGTTCGTCGTGGAGGGCGCAAATTACTTGCACAGGCTGCCTGGATGTTGAGACCCTAGAAAAGCAATGACGTTCCTCCAGACAGTATAGGGTGTATCATTTTGCCCCTCAGAAAAAGAAGACCAAGTGAAGGAGCGGCCTCTCCATATAAGTACTCTGGCTCTCCCACTGTCCCCGTAGCCAGCACATGCCACGGAGAATGTACAGGCCAATGTCGAAACTCCTCCACTGGTTTTCAAATTTATCTGTCCCCGAAGTTTACGGTACTTGCGCGGCGATTTTTCTTGCATCCTGGCTTATCTATTCATCTGCAGTGCATACTCTCCTTCGCGTTGGATTCGTTGAAGGTTTTTCAGGATAGGGACAAACGTGGCAGGGATCAAGCCATGGAAGTCGACCAGAATACCGGTAAGCTTCTTGCTGTAAAGCCCGGCCAGGAGGATCAGTTCTTGTTGTAGGCATGTCGCAAGCTTGACCGTAATACTAGGTGGAAATTTATCAGAAACAAGACTACTCTTGTTCTGGTGCGCTCGGTCCTTGGAAGCATTCTTCAAAGTGACCTCGAGGAAAATAAGCCTCCTGTGAGTTGCTTGGGACGTCAAGAAACACACTAGGCTTCCTTCCTCTAATCGGTTAGAGTCTTGCCACCATCTGCATTGCTCGTTAGATGACTTTTTGCGGACTTGTGGTGGAGTAGTAAAGGACACGGTCGATTCGAGCTCCTTTCTCTCATTGATAAATATGTGGGGGGTCTGTGCTCCCAGATAGAGATGTGCCCCGCTATCTTTGCCTGAGAAATATGAAAATTGAGTCAAATCATTCTGCTGCAGCAGATCTCGAAGGACATCTTTGGCTGAACCGAAGATATCATGGCGCAGGAGTCGGAATGTTGAGTCAATGTATCTTGCAAAGTGTCAGGGAGAAAGTGCGGCTGAAGGAAGTTGGTAGAAGGTAGATATTCTGAATTGCCGCTGACAATCTCTCCATGGGTAGGAAGGATCTGAACTTGAGAGATTTCTGCAAGGTCGTTGTCGTGTCTCCCACCAGGTATTTGCATATCCAGCGGAAAAGACGACAGGGCTGATCCACTCTCCTTGGGATTTTCCTCATGTACCCTGGGTGTATAAGTTTGCGGTTTGCGCTAGAGATCAGGCTCTGCATGACTTCTATTCTGCTTTCAAGTCCGTCAAAGTCGGCCTTCGAGCATGTTTCAGCAATTTTGAAGGCCACTTCGCGGATTAGGTCGAGCAGTGCGGGAATTTCATCGTGGAATCGAGCGCGTCGGACTCTTGACAAAAGCTGGTACAAGGTATCCAGCAGTAACTTAATCGTGTCCAGAGAGATGACCGGCGCATTTTCGTTGGTCGCTTCACCTTTACTCAGCAGGCTCCGGCAGACACTTCTCAGATATCTGATTGCTCGATCTCCATTCGTTCCACCAAAGGATGTGTACAGATTGCCAACAAATGAATCGACAGAAAGACAGTTTAGGAGAGAAGTATGGGTAATGACTTTAAGAAATTGCGTGTCGTAAGTTGGAATAGGTCGCACTCCCTCTGGATTGTCTGCATCCGCAGTTGCCAGGATGAAATCATGTCCATGAAGATTGTCGTCTACAAGATCTTTAGCGAGGAATTGATGATTCTCTCTGCTGTCGCTTTCAAGAATTTCAAGAGCCCCGTTCCAGAATTGAACGATCTCTTCATGTTCCCTTCGAGAATACCCAGACCCTAACATCCCATTTCTAAGAAGACTCTTCCAGTCGAAGTATTGATTCCGAGCGTCCAGATCATAGGTTGTGGGATGGTATGCAGCCGGGTTTGCCTTGAAGTCGGAGGCCTTCTTCACATCGTGCGAGAATCTACACCTCTCACCGTAGTGGCACCTGCCACGTTGAAAGTGCACACAGAATGTTTCTGCCAGATTGCGTTTTCTGAAGCTGTTGAGTTCTCCTCGGTTGCTTGTTTTGCCCGGAGATCGCCAATTTCTGCGGTGAGCCATCGTGAAAGGAGACAAGGCTGTAGAATTTTTAGCTCTGGTGATCCTTAAAGCAGTATAATATTTCTAGTGCGCAAGGCTGCACGGATGGATAGGTGGGAGTGATTGTCTGGAGGAGGGAAATACAATCTAGAATACGCCAAGCAGGAATTCTCTTTGATAAGATGGACGTAAGTCTGCTTTGTACTTTGTAAATCTGACGTGTCCTAACGTCTTGCAGGATAACTCATACCTGCATCACCCCTCTTTTCAAGATCTCTTTACTTGCAGTATTCCAACTCTTGCCTTATATCTCCGCTCGCTTTTTTGGTTCAAAAGGGTCAAGGAGGATGAGATGGTTGGTGTGAGGTGCCAAATCACGGGATGGGATTCCTGTCGCCCGTCATCCGCGCAGTTTTGGGGGGAGGGGAAAACAGAGTTCATCTGAGTCTTCGCGTCGTGCTTAGGTAAATGAAAAATAGTACGATAAAGTATCATGCAGGATGATGATGGCTCGATTGGTTGACTGGCATAGAGTGGTGGTTGTAATCGTTATCTCCAAGACATAATCCCATGTAGAATTGATTGAGCTTACCATACCCTGTACCACGCCCTAGCTCAACCCAAACAGTCCAATGTAGGTATGGAGAAAGGATATCATGGCATTTTGTAGAGGCTCATCTTCCTGCAGCTTATCTTTTGGGCTGCTACCTGTCTCGAACTGGGAATCTCTGATCGTGAATTCTGAAACTGTAAAGGGAATGGGCTGAAATTGGTTATGCGTGATTCAAGGAACGCAAGCAGATTTCGAAAGATGAGCTTTCTCGCATGCTCATGTTAGAGCGGGAGAGGACAGCCCTTTTAAGTAGCCTAGAATCACATAAAAAGACATGAAGAGCTGAGGTTTTGAGTGAGGTTGTTCTGAACCGCGAACTAGAAAGTCCTTTTGGAATTCGCGAGGAGGCCCTTGACCACAGGTAAGTGGGGAACTTGTGGTTCTCCGGAAGCTGATTGGACTTCATTATTTGTCAATTTGAAACTGCGAAACCACGAGATTTTCGAGTTGCTTCAGCTTTTCTGACGTCCAAGTTCGTTACACATTACTGTCTACTATGTAGAAAGTAAAGTAGGTAAATTTTCGAATCCCGGGAATCCGCTCCTCAAGTAAGTAAAAGGGAACATTGTATGCTGTTGCTATTGCGTATCCAGACATGCCCACTCCTCTTCAGCGTTGGGCGCTTTGATCAATTCTCCAAAGCAAGACCTTGTGTCTTTTCTTGACAGTAAGTACGTAAAAGACATCGTGTTATAGGATACCTTCATGATGATTGTACGGGCGATACGTGATTTCGAATATCCATTTTTTAATACATGATTGGATGAAGGTGTGCTGGGGACGGTCCCGGTCACCTTGGAAGGCCTGGTATGCTCCAGCTCCTAGAGACTAGGTCTTAAAGTTTACGTGGATGTCCCTGGGATCCAGGTATGAACAACAATAGTAATGGCGGAGTTTATCGACCGAAATGGCGATATCTAGCTTTTGCGTGGGGAGCTGAGATCCTAAGCGCTGAATTTGCTGGTTGGTGCGTGCTGTGCGCTCAGTAATATCCTATCTGATTTCGCCATGCGTCAAAAGCAACAACCGCCGCTGTAGTTGCTGCGTACAGCATGGCGTATCCAACTACATACCACTTTGTGCGTCATGTCTCACGGCTAATCATTTGAACCAGGTTTTGTGACGAGTCAGGTCGCCTTATACTCTGTTAATGAGCACTGGCAGGCAGTCTTTAGGTACATATTGAAAGGCTGGCTGATACTGAGAGGAGACACGTGGAAACATGCTCACAGTGACATGAAGACAAAGCAAGCCCTGACAGTCTTCCTAGCCAGACTAAGGCTAGCAAATGGACTCACAGAGGGCATAAGACAGGATGGCCTGTACGACCCTAATTTAGTACATGTGATGACGTGGCTCCTGCATGAACAAAGCCCCTCGCCGGAGACTTGTCGACTGTCGGTATGAGTATTAATCCAACAAACTCACAGTTTTCTCCAAGTTTTCGGTCTGCTTCATATACATCGGCAACTAAGATAGTCAACAGTTTTCACCGTGGCGCACGTCAATAACAGCCATATTCTTTAATATCCCTCTCCACGATGTATAGATGTGAGACCTGCACTGCCTCCTTCGCATATGAAGACGAATGGGAGAACCACATGGTTAATCACCATCATTGGCTTGAATGCGAGACATGCACCAGGATATTTCGCACTCGTGTCTCTTGCAATCAGCACATGAACGATACACATCATTGGGCACCCCGTTTTGAGTGTGAAACTTGCAACAAGTCGTTCCGCTCTGCGAATGCGGCGGCCCAGCACATGGCAGATGTCGGCCACTGGCAACCCAAGACCTGCTGCGAGACATGCACGAAAAAATTCCACAACCAGAAGGCTGTGAACCAGCATATGGATGCATTAGGTCATTGGGCACCCAAGATCGCATGCGATGTATGCAATCAAAAGTTCTATACGCCTGCCGCCGCAAATAAACATATGAAAGACAAGAATCACTATAGGAATTATTGCAGAGATTGTGACCGGCGATTCGAGAATGAGAACAACCTTAAGATGGCAAGTCTCTTCTTATCCACACTGTTGGAAGGCCCTTGTGTTCTAACCATGGAAAATTCGCCAACAGCATCTTCACTCAAAGACTCACCACGGCTCCAACGTCCTATGTCCTTTCTGTAAATCCAATTTCACTTCCGCCAGTGGCCTCACCTGCCACCTAGAAACCGGTTCCTGTCCTAGAGTGCCGAGCTTGAACCGCGAATCTATCCTCCGCATGATTCGCGATCGTGACCGGGATGGTGCCATCACCAACAAGCAGATCGAGTGGTACAAGGAAGACAGTATACAATATGCCGCCACCGGGAATGCTTTCAACGGCTCCTATTGGGAGTGTTACCTATGCCACAAGGAGTTCAGCAAGAAGAACGCTCTGAATCAGCATCTCAACTCACCTGTGCACAAGCAGAAAGTTTATCGCTGCCCAAATGCAAAAACGGTGTGCGGGAAAGAGTTTATCGCTCTAGCTGGATTATTCAGTCACCTAGAAAGCGAGTCATGTGCGTACATGAGATTCGAAAAAGTCCAGCAGCAGGTGAGTGACGTGATTCAGGGGCGGAGACTCATCACATCGATTTAAGGTCGGGTTCGAATCATATTCAGTACCTCACACAAGCACGAATCGTTTTCTCTCCGAATCACGGCTTTGCACGTGGGGTTGCTAGTGTTTTCTGTCTCAGCACAAGCGAATCGTGTAGCGTTGAAAACTTCTCCTATAGTTAGTCTTGAGGGGCGAAGTACCGTACCCTTGGCGAGTCACCTACCGGCGAGAGAAACAGCGGATTCTTCAGATCTGACTCCATGATAAGAGCAACAAGGGTGCCTAGAAGCGGTTGTCAGTGAGAGTCGCGACCTTGGCTAGGCGCCCATACATACCCAGCATCGTAACTCTCAAAATGTTGGTCATTGGAGGGGATACTGTGTCAATAATAAGTTCTGTGTTGATACTATATGGCTTTTTGACTTACATGTACTCCTCCGGCCGAAGTGTTTGGCACCTTAGCAGTATGGCTAGCTTCAAGGCCGCTGGGCTCTAATGTTGACATTAGTATTACTACTGCCTACTATTTTCCGTTAACTCCCTATAAATCGAAGATCCGAGGGAAGTTGTCTGCCTAGGCAATGTTGCCTGCCTAGGCAATGTTGCAACTTGCAAGGGTCTCTAGATGAGCAACCTCTGATCTTGGGTCACCGAGGCGGCATTTTTGGCAGGATAGCCATTCTCGCCTGCTCATATTAGAGAGGGAGGGTTGCCCTTTTAAGTGGCCTTGAGTCACATGGAAAGACATAAACAGCCGAGCCGAGGTTTTGAATGAGGTTGTTCTGAACCGCGAGCTAGAAAGTATTTGAACTTCGGGAGTAGGCCCCGCGACCACAGGTTGGTGGGGAACTTGTGGTTCTCTGGAAGCTGATTGGACACGGGTATTTGGCGATTTGAAACTGCGACCCCACGAGCCTTTTGAGTTGCTTCAGTTTTCTGACGTCAACGCTCGTTGCTAATTACAGTGTATTGTGTAGAAGGCAATTAATTCATATTATCCTCGAAAGACTGCTTCTCAAGTAAATAAAGGGGAACATTGAATATGCAGTTGATATTAATCTCGACATGCTTACTAGTCACGTGAATGATATCCTACCGATGCCATTGGTCAGTACGTTTGTCCACCGTGACCGTTGCGTAATTAACTTCCATGCACTTACCCTCTTGCAAGCTTGACCGCTACGCTATTTAAGGCCCAAGTATTGCCTCCTTGCTGTTTCCCCCCAACCAACTTCTCGACATATTTTATTAGGAAATTTCCACACCTGTCGGGATGTCTTATTATTCGCTTGAGGATACAATCAATCGCTTTTTTTGGGCCGCACCGTCACGCGGGAGCAATGTGACCAAATTGCTGTTGAAATTACGGGTGAAGCCGTGGAGCCAGTTCGGCTTCAGGGAGCGTTCAGTTACACTGTAGCAGCTAGGGGGCTTCTGGTACAATTCCGTGTTCCCGAGTCTCTCTTAGATACAGAAAAGCTGGGTCTCGCTCGGAAGATCTTCGGCAATGTTGTTCCCGCCTGTGTCAATAAAGGTGTCATAGGATCGTCGCCTTCGCTCACTATCTATGTCATGAAGAAAGTTCCCGGAATAACCTACATTGAAGTGCCTTTAACAACACTACATTCAACTTCATGGCAAGAGAAAACAGTATCGGATTTTTCAAGGTACATTTAATGTCGCTATGCTATGGACCACAGCTGATCTTACTAGATTTTTTGCCAATTCATGGTTGAACCGACTATCGGAGGCTCATCACTCCGAGCAGTCTTTGGAAGATCTTCAAGACAAGCTTGATATACTTGTGCACGGGCTCCCTTCCCGATTTACAGCCGTCATCTCCAAGCTTCGCGAAGAACTTCCCGCAATCTTTGCTCCCACGTATCCGTTGGCTCTAACTCATGCTGACCTGTGTGAGATGAATCTTATCGTCGATGCCAAAGTAGGTGGCATCAATGGGATTGTTGATTGGGCTGAAGCAAAAATTTTGCCATTTGGAATGTCGCTATGGGGATTTCAGAACATGCTTGGAATTATGAACTCAAGCGGTTGGCATTACCATGAAAATTCTTCCAAACTGGAAGGCATTTTCTGGGATACGTTCCATAGCCAGGTGGGAAAGATCTCCGATGTTGAGAAAAGGGCCATGAAAATCGCGGAACGGACTGGATTGGTTCTTCGTTATGGTTTCACCTGGGAAGATGGGAATGTGGAAAGGCCTACGAATGAGCAAGATTCTTCGATTAGATATTTGGACGCATTTTTAGATCGCTTGGGGGATTAGGCACGCAAAACCCCTCCCTAGAGTTCCAACCTATACCAGCATTCTTAGTATTGGAAATGAGGGCCAGTGAGTAACCCGAAAACGAATGTATTTAGTTAATAGGTTGACGTTTGCGTGAAAAAGGCAAATAAAACAAGGACGTGCTGCAGAAAGGACTAGAAAACAACAGCTCATTCTAGCTACTGAATGATTTCCTCCTTTTTGAGGAAGCCTTTCAGCTCCCCAATATGAGAAAGAGGAATTTCATCCACGAAGACTCTGTGAGTACCCTTCGTGGTCTGAGCATGCTTCTCACCATCCTCCAAGCCTTTACTCTCGCTCCCATTACCAACGTACCATCCAGTTGTTCTGTAGACCTTTCCATATTGGGCTTGGGCCTCATCGAGCATCACTGTTCCAGAATTGCCAAGTACAAGCTCTATCATTGGCGAAGACGGCCCATGGTGTAGTGCTTGCAGCCCGAAGGTGTCCGTCAGGTTGTGGTCAAGGAGGTACGTGAAGACGTCCTTGAAAAAAGAAGTGTTAATTTCGCTAAGATCTTCCGGCGGACCTTCCCGGTACTCATAAGCCACCAGTTCTCCGTCCCTGGACAGCTTGAAAATATGGCCGTGTATATTAGAGGCATCAACTTCTTCAATAGGGACGGGCTTAGTCCAGCATCCAGTGGGGTTCTCAAAATAATGTCCTAGCATTACTTGATCACTCGGAATCTGGAAATGCCCATGGATTAGATGGATGCCGATTCTGTCCTGGACATTGTGGCGAAGCAAAATCTCTCGAATTTCTTGCGAATGATTGTGAAGAAGCGGTGGTTGTGCTTCGTCGGATGGAAGCTGATTGTACCTGGAGTTATTCTTAGTAGGGCTAATTGTTAAACGGGTAGCAGAACATACAAGACGGATGACTGCTTCAGATCAGCCTCAGTCGGGGCGACGTGTAAGCCAGGCACAACAGCTTGTTTGATGACTGAGGCGGAGGCCATTTCGATGGATACGCTAGGATATGAGATTGAAGATACAAAACCAACTATTGAAGTCGTTGAGGTGGTAAGTCCTGAGAGATAAACGGCCTCTTATATTTTCTAAATGGGAATCCAGGCAAGCCGCAATATACCAGTCACGTAGCCATATCTTGTAGACAGGGTTCCCCGCTCGATCTATGCAACTCCGTCCAAAACCACGTCCAAAGGGGGTTCCGGTGATTTGTTCGTCAAGGTTCCAGCCTCTATGGCACTTGTGATTGACTGAAGGCAGGAATATCTGTGACAGGAATAAGAGGCTCCCGGCGTGTAGGTGACCACCATGCATTAGCGAATGAGCTGCTCACGGCCAGCGCTTTATTAGCGCCTCGCGCACAATCTAGACCAGCGGGCTACATCGATGGAGGGGTGGACCGGGTACTTGTACAATCCGTGGGATTGGTGGGCCAGGCAGCGTGAGGCTGCATGGTCTGTTTGTTCGGGCAGGATATTGACTGACTGCCCCACTTTTTCGGGCCTCAGCATGCCCAGGCTGATATGGTAAAGAGCAAGAACCAATAACGAGCGCAGCTATGCATGCAACACTGTCTCCTAAGCGTGGTGGGGGCCGCACCCACTGGCCAGTGTCCTACCATCCGCAGGGGGGCAGCCCACTCGGTTAGGGAGGGCTGGTATAAAGGCCAGCCTTTCGACTAATTTTCGACTAATTTTCGATTAATTTTCGTCTTTGAAAGCTTGAGTTTTCTACTTCGATTTGTGGTATTCAGGCCATTTCATCGACGTTATCTCGGTTCCTTTTCAATAAAATCTTCACTTCAATGTTCTGAAGCATGACTCTGTCGCTTACTAGTGCTTTCGAGCAGCTTGTCCAGACTTCAAGAGATGTTGAGCGTCGGAATGGTGTGAAAGAAAAAGAAAAGAAAAGAATATTGGCGGCAGCCACCTTACTAAGGAATGGGTGTCCACCTCAGGACTCCAGAGGAGCCGGTCGACAGTCGACTTACCTCGACTTCCTTCGCAAAGTTCTACAGCTGAACGGCCAGTCGATGGTCGTTCTTTGTGCTATTGGGTTGGGGCTGTCGGCAATTGCCATCGCAAAAGAGAGCATACGACTTAATCTTCCATATGAGATCCAAAATCACCCTGGCCTAGACAACCCGGTGCTCCGACGTCTTGCACGTCAGTATTTCAGTTTTGGTGTCTACTCAGACTCTTCCCGCCCTCCCTTACCAGCCGGTGGTGGAACGGTTGACCAAGTCTCGGTGTCTCATGATCTCTCCGAGCGTCACGAGCAGGTTCAAGGGAGCCACCAAATCGTTGAACGGAATCCCGGTACGACCACCAAATCCCATGGGTCTTGCAGTATGCTAACATTGTGAAGGGCCACCTCCAGTAGTCGTATCGTCAGATTTGTCTCCTTTTCAGCCCGAGAAGCATCAAGACACAGGTATGGCTTCAGCCCAAAAGTGCATGTTAACTGGCTAACTTGACCTGAAGTCCCTCTGACCGGAGATGTCTACGAGCTCAACTTGCAAGATATTCGAGATATCATAGAATCAGGTCAGATATCTGGCGCAATGTGGCTCACAGACACGTATGGAGTGAATACAACATCTTTTGTCACAATTCCAGTCAGCAACGAACTGACGGATCGATTGATCTTACACCGTCCCTTGGCAAAATGGGGCCAACCGCCAAATTAACCTCCATCCATCGCTGTTATATATCCAACTTCAACGACGCCCGATGCTCTAAAGCGCCAAGTATCTCGCCATGGTATGATGACCCGGAAGCCTTGCTCCTCTGTTCCAACTCCGTCGACATATTCCCCGCTTTCTCTCTCGAAAATCCGTATTGCGCCTCTGTTCTGAACAAGATCCACGACAATGGCAACCGTTCTCGGTGGAGGGGTAGTCTGAACACCTTTTGATGGTGTTGTCCAGTTTATTCGATCGCATAAGTCACATTGTACCTGGGATAATTAGTACGTTTCTTACAGGTGATCATTTGACAGATGATTCTCACTTCTTTCTTGCATTCTTCTAGAACGTCGCTGTCGGTTGAGCTTTCGGTGCGAACTTTTTTGGCTACCTTATCCATGGTATCTGTCTCTCTGCGCGCTGCTCTGGTAGAGCACGCAAACTTGCCTAGAAGAAGTAAAGGTTTCGAGGGTTAGATTCCATCATAAGTACACAAAGCGAGAAGGAAAACAGGCATTACTTACCTCGCCGGTTAATCTGATGAGAAATTAAGGATCATTACCGACGACTTTGCTTTCGAGGTATTTCCTTAAGTGACGAAAATTTTAAGTCGGGGATGATGACCACACTCATTTGGGCCTGTACCACCTTCGAGTCAGGCAGCAGTTGCTGTAAACCGCTGGCAGATGGGTGAATGGGCAGATGAGGGGCAGGAAGAAAGTCCACGCTTATATCATCACGTGATACCACATTTTGGCCCGAGGGATTTGGGCGCTGGTCTTCCCAATCAAGCAGACCTTAATAAGCAAAGATGTGAATGACCTTGACAGCCTAAAAATTTCGCACATACTCAAGGTCAATATAATAAAAACAATAACGGTAGAACACTTAGGCTAATTTCCCCATGCACCTGTATTACTCTATGACTCCACCCAAGTCCAAATGATATCAATAAAGGATACTTATCGGGGGAGGTCCGTTCCACTGTGTAAATTCACCGAAATTTCATCGAGATTTCATCGAAAAATTGATGAGAATTCGACATTGTTTCGCAATTCTTTTCTTGGTATACCACAATTTGCAAGTCAAAGTCAGAGAGGCTGGACTATCCCTAAATTGCCTGCGGACCTTAGATGGCTCAATACGTCTTAGACGGCAAAGATAGGCTTGCTCCTCAGAGCAAAAGTCAATCCTTCTGGACCGTGCATTCAAGATCATCTCATCTGTACATCTGTAGTGTACTTTTGTTTTGAGACTAGGGGGTCAAGGGTGGGCGACGAAGTTATAAATGGGAGCAACCTCTCTAGTTCTTGGAGTTCTTTAATCGTACTAACATCAGTATTTGACCTTGCTGATTCAGGTTTCTTCTCCATTGTACCCAGAATTCCATCGACTGGACCAAGCAACATGGCACCTACTCAGAGTAGCTCATATTCGCCTTCTGTCGAACACAGCATGGCATTGGAGACTTCCTCTGCTTGTTACCAAGGCCTGACGCCCCCGGACAGCCCGACGAAGGGGACAACTACCTCTCAAGCTATCGTGAAGGATCTCAAGCATCTGTTTGGTGTGTTTCTCGAGAAGACGCTGCTCGATCTTACCAACAAAGAACCTCCAAATACCCCTGTCTCCCAGGATCAGTCCCCATCAAGCCCTGACATGGTTCAGCTGAAGCAGATGCTGGTGAAATTCACCCTCGATGAATGTGCTTCAGCTGAACTGTCTATGGCAACCAAGCCTGCTCAGTCTTGTCCAGCGAGCAATAACCAGGAGAAGGGCGTTCAGGTAGCAGATGGAATTGATCTCGACAGTCCGATCTGTACTACCCCGGATGATTATAAATCGTTTGAAAAGTGGGCCTCGACACCCCAATTCAAGACTGTTGTGGAAACGTATGAGCCACCAACTCCCCTTCCCATTCCTTTTAGAAACTGGCTGACATGGGTGTAGTTGGGATAAAGAAGCATGCAAATACAAGATAGCAGAGCCGGTGGAGACACGCGGTGGTCTGGACGACTATGCTGAATATGCATTTATTGTCCGTGAACGTGTTGGTCCGTAACGTCGTCACGCAGGGGACCGAACCAATACTAATCGCATCATTAGATCGGAATTCCGAGGAGGTGACGCCCTACATAGACCTCAAATCGGATGGCCTACGTGACATCCTGCGTGTGGTGCTGCACGACATCAAAGCTATTAGCATAATGGAGGGCAAGCCATCGGTAACTGAGACTCAACAGAATCTGGAAGAGAACGCTGACGTGAATTTAGATCGAGCAAAACGTCCTTTTCCAATTCCTCCCAGAGCTCGACAGATGTGCGGAGAACATAGAAAACAGTTCGGACGATGACTCGGCACATGCGGAGCATCTCCGCCTGCTCATCGACCACCTCAAGCACGCATATACTTCTATCTCGCAGCGTCTCGAATCAATGTTGCAGCACGGTCATATTACATATGACCTTCTTTACGCGCTTTTCAAGCCTGGTTGCCATGTTTATACCACATGCCTTGGCACAAAAGAGCCGCGATGTGTCAGGTTCGACGCGGGGGAAGAGGTGACACAAAATGACGAGACGTGGTGGAATCTCGAGTGCCGATTCATTGATTATGACGGAGTCAAGTTCGGCGAGGCCGGAATATTTCTGCGTGTGGCAAAGTTCCGGGGGTCAAAGCCGATCGAGAGCCTTGAGGCGTTCCCTCTCCGCTACCATCCAAGGTACGAGCAAGTCCGGAAAGACTTGGTCGAAAGAGGCCAAAAGTTTCGGGATTTGACCGGCTCGCATATTCGGCACTGTAAAGGCAGTGCGTTCTTCATGAATAAGGGGAAGGCTATCAAAGTCAAGGTCAACAGTCGAGTGGCAGTGGATGCCGCATTTTTTCATGAAATGCAGCCAAACTACTCCCGACCGTCACTCCGTGACCTAGGGGTCAAGGACAAGGATGGAATTGCATTTATCGACATAGGTGCGATGCTTATGGAGGACCGCGAGAGAGAGAAGGAGAGGATGCAAGGAGACGGCGTGGACGCACAAAAACTGAGCGAGACCGATTTCTTGGTCGGCTGCCCAACAGTATGCTGTTTTAGTTTCAAGGAGAAAATGTTCTGTATGTGAGACGACTGAAAATTGCTTGGCGTCCGACTAATTTCATTCCAGTGGAGTGCGCAGTCAGTGCTCTTGGGGACGTGGATTGGTCACCCGAATCATTCGACTGCCTGCAGATCCCTTCAGAGACCAAGACAATGCTCCTATCATTGACGAAAACCCGCCTGGGTCTGATACCGACGGTACCGTTCG